AACTTTTTTAAATTGCGTTTTGACTCCCGGTTTTCGATTTTCTTTTCAAAAATACCCCCAAAATCCAAATTTTCACTCCTTTTTTCTCAAAATCAATTTCAATTAAATCCAAATAATATTTTTACCTAATTTTATCATTATTATTATTTTTATTTTCATTAAATTAAATTAAATTAAATTAAATCAAATTAAATTAAATAAAAATCTAAAAAATTCAAATACAAAAAATAAAAGAGGAAAATAAAATAATAAGAATAAAATTAAAATACTTGGGTGTTACACACACCCCAACCACATCTAAAAGGATTTTCATCTACTTGGGGATAGGTTTCACCACACCACTGAATTTCAGCCATATTAATCTTAAATATGTTATCTCTAAATTTTTGTTTCTTCCAAGTTTTATTTTGTTTTGTTTTTCTTTCTATTCTAGTTAAGATTGATATTATTTATTTATTTATTTCTAACAACCTAATAATATTCTTTAGGGACTTTGTACACTTTCTTAGTTAACCTTACTCTATATCTCAAACTATTCTAATTCTCTCAATTTTTCTCTTTTTCATCCTTATAGAACTCACTAACTCTCCTTAATCATCCACTTTCCTGTTTATTGTAATTTATTTAGTTATCATTTTGTTTATTATTCATGTTTTAATGTTTTTTTTATTTTCAGTTTTTAGTTTTATTAGTTTTATTTAGAATCCCTAATTTGATCTAAGAATTTGAATTTCTTTTTGTTAATCTTATTCTATTTGTGAGAGTTATTTTATGTGTTCATGATTTTATTGGTGAATTTACACTATTATTAATTTTTTACTCAGACTGTTCAACTCATCATACCATCAATCATCAACCATATAGTATTAAAAACATGCAATTTTCATTCAACAATCAAGCAACAAACAAATGACAAATTAAAATATTCAGCATTACCATTTTCCAATTTCTTCCACTTACTTAATTATCAATTCTGATTCCTTAATTTTATAAATCTTACTCAAATCTTAATTAAGTTTTTGCTTGAAAATATATAAATGTAGCTTCGGGATAGCTACTAGATATACTTACCGACTTGGAGCGAAAAGAGTTCCAATTTGAACTCCAAAAATCATCCTAAATTAGTAGAAAACCTGCACGACAACTAAGCCTTCTCAGGTCAGCGATGAACCCGAGAGTTTCATGCAATTCTATTGTATGCGCATCTCATTTCTATAGTTGTTCTAGTTAACAAGGTCTGTTCATTCAATTTAATTTTTCTTATTTTATCTATTTGATTAATGACTTAATTTCTCAACCATTACTTCCTTCTCATTTTGTATTAATTTTACACATAAATTCTTTTATTTAATTTACTCATAATCTTAATGATCAAATAGTTTATGATTATTATTAAAGTACTACTCCTACTTAATTTTTCTTTCTTTAGTTTATTTTATATATTATTTGTTCAATTCTAAAAATTATTTTACAGATTATTTATTTCTTATTATTTCACAATTATTCTGTTATAATATCCACTCCTGTAACACCGAAATTTAATTTTAATGTAATTAAAAATTAATTTATAAATATAATTTTTTTTATTTTTTAATTTTAATTTAGTGTAAAAATGAAAAAAAAATTTGATAGGGGGATGAAATTGAAAATAATTTTGGAAAAAATAGGTGAAATTTTGAGTTTTTGGGGTATTTTTGAAAAAAAAATCAGAAACTGGAGGTCAAAATACAATTTAGAGAAGTTGTGCCACGTGGGATGCCCGGTCAGCAGCCTCGACGAATCAGGACGCGCCACATGGTAACGAACACTGATGCGGTGCCACGCAGGAGGCCACGCGGGCGATCCACGTGCCCGCAATCGAACGGCCCAGATTTGCCCTCACGCGCACGGATGGCCTAGATATGTTCCCTATTTAAACGTGATCGGATGGTTCAGATTGGATCGCGATGAACGATCCAGATTCACTCCCTATTTAATCGCGATCGGACGGTCTAGATCAAACTCGATGGACGGTCCAGATAAAAAAAGAACGAGTATAAATAACCCTCTTCACACCGAACCCTAACCCTAGCCGTTAGACCCCCTTGCCGGAGAAGAAGATCCAGCGACCGGGAAGGAGGCCGCCGCCACCCACCACCGCATTGGAGCCCTTTCCGACCGCCAAAAGAGGTAAAAAAATTCTTCTTCGCTTAGAATTTAATTTTAAATACCCTCATAGCCAAATCGGAGCAAAAAGACTGGCGGATTAACCGAAAACTGCAGGCAAAACCCAGCGGCGCCGCCGCAGAGAATTTCAAAAAATGCCTCCGATAAATCCCTTTCGATTCTCGTTCGACATAATTTTTTCACTATTGTGATCACCGTTTCTTTCTCTATAGGTTGACTGGAACAAAATACTCAACCGCAATATGAGCCAGAGGAGCCACCACACCAGAGAGCCCCGCCACCGGTGAGTTTCGATTTTTTGTATTTTTTTGGCCAACAAAGAGCCCTTAATGTGTTTTCTTGCAGGGATTGATAGAAAATCGACCAAAAACAGTCGATCCGAGGCAAACCGCCCCTGCAGGCAGTGGTGGCGTCGTGCCAAAATTTTGAAATTTGCCAAAAATGGGTCCCGATATTGATTTTAAATTTTTTTGGAATATTTGCAGGTACTTATAGCACGTTTTAATCGTCGAAGAAAATTTTAGAGAACCAATGGACTGCCACTAGGGGCAATCAACATATTAGTTTTTCGGGCATCAAATTGAATAAGAATCTCTCACCCTATTCTTTATTATGGAATTGAAGTCTAAATAAATAATAATACGGTATTTGGTGTAATTTAAAAAATATTCATTATTAATTATGGGTTACTAATGGAGGTAGAACTAGAAATTATCTATTATTGATTATGTTGAATTATTTTACAGTTAATTGCATGATACTATTTCATTGATCGATTTTATAGTTTTAAATGCATGTATTGTTTGATTTATGTGATTACCATTGAATTAAAAAATGGAGACTAAAGAAAAATGAAAAATTGTGTGATTAAGTGAATAGATGAAACGACAGCCTTACTGAATATCTTGAGAGATGGTGGACGGACCGAGTACAATAGAAAATCCTATCGTGAACATTGTCTCATACCGGACGAAGTATCGAGACTTTGTAATTTGGCACTCATACCAGACGGCATATGAGAACAGTCCGTTTCACCTTCATACCGGACAAGATATTGAGATTTAATAATTTGACGCTCATACCAGACGGGGTATAGGGACAGCCCGTTAATGATAATATTAAATGAAAAGGTTCACGCGTAGCGAGAACATCCCTATGAACCCCCATGGATACCAGCGCGCTGATGAAAATGAACAGTTGTTGTTTGATTTATTGAATATGGATTTATAATGTGTGCATGCTGTCGATTACATATAAAATCATGATAAGGGCTACGTTATTATCTCTCTAAGTTGTTTTTATAATCTCGCTATGGTAAGTGGACAGTAAATAATTTTATTATTAATAAATGTATTTGTTTAATTCAATGCTCCATTAATTATTTTGATTTTCTAACAACCTTCATTTCTGTATTAGTGAGTAACGTGATATTCTTAATAGAGTAGTGTAGTTCATTTCTTATTTAACCATTTCAGATCAAGAGAAGCAGGATCCAAAACCCGATCCTCAAGAAGGTTGCGAATAGAATGCTAATTTTATTTATTTTCCGCTTATTTTCTTATTTTTTTTGTATTTCTTTCAAAATAGTAATTCTCGTATCACTATTAGGTACTTTAATAATTGTGTAAGAAATGTAAATTTTAACCATTCATTTTACTTTTGCGCGTAATTGATAATTTATTTCATTCAAACATTCCGGAGTCGTTACAATTCCATTCAAAATTGAATAACTTATTTATATATTTATTAAATCAAAATTATTTCCAAAATTTATGCATTTTAATATTTTAAATTTTCTTTTCCTAATTATTATAAATCATAACTATATTGATCTGCCCAATCATTACTTCTCCAATCAAATTAAATTTCCATTAATTACTCATTCAATCAATTTTAATTCTTATTAATTATTTATTCAATCAAATCCAATTCCCATTAATTTTAATAAATTTATTCTTCTCCCATATACACATATATACATATGATTATATACTCATATATAGCATATTTTAATATTTTTTACTTATATTAAATTATATATATTATGTTTATATTATCTACATAATTATTTCCAGATACATATATATATTATAAAAATCTAAAATAAAATTATACATGCACACATATACACCAACATGCATATATATGTATGTATACATATACTTGCATGTAATACTCACACACATTTGTATAGCTATATATACTCATATATATATATAATCATATGAATTATATATATATACATATACGGGATTATTTGTAAATTTTACAGGACTATTTCCTGTAAAATTTAACATTTGATTTTTTCATCATTTAATCACCTTATTTCACTAAACCATTTTGCAAGATCCCCCAAAAAAAGTTTGAAACAAATCTACAAAAACCAATTACTCAAGAAGAATTAATGGAAACATGATCAACTTAAATCTTAAGTGTTTAATATATCTAATTTAAGTCAAAATTCTAAGCCAAATTAATTTTTGGATCCGATTTGTACCCCCAAACTCTAGCTCTCGAAAATACGAATCACATAAACAAAACTGATTACTAAGACATTTAAATATTTGAGAAAACGAAAACCATGAATTAAGAACTATAGCGTTCTTACCCAAGCGTGGACCAAATAAGCCCCGAGTCCATGGTGGTGAAGTCTCAAATCTCTCCATAGCAAAAAGGAGAAGCTCTGACTGTGAAAGCCTTTTGAAGGATTGATGCAGCTCTCAGGTTTTACGTTTTTAACTAAAATAAAAGAATACACATACACTTAGGAAAAAGAGACAAAAATAATGAAATAAGGAAGAGAAACACGCTTATCGGAGCTAGTTTTGCTCTCCCACATGGCGGCGCAATCGTGTCCCGCCACTTCTCATGCTTACCAGAGCTAGTTTTACTCTCCATCATGGGAGTGTAATCGTGCCCTGCCACCTCCTTCCTTTCTCCGACATCCCACTCTCTCCCACTCCCTTCTCTTATGGTGGCTAGGGTTAAAGGTCACAAGAAGAGGACCCTTAAATACCCACCCCCAAATAATTTCTAATCGTAGGATTAGATCAAATCTAGTCACATATGGACCGTCCGATCGACTTTTATTAAGGGCAAATTAGTCACTTCCCTTCCTAAAAAGATCTACACCATTGATTCAAATTTTTACTCATCAGAGCCGTTGAAATTCATGACCGTTGGATTGCACTCAGGATAAATCGTGGTCGTTGTTTTGCAGATCGCATGTAGACCGTGATATTAATCAACACGTGCCTCAACTGTCCGATCATCATCTTGTTTGTCAACTGCACAATCTTAATCATCATCATTTGCGCATCTAGGAGCCGTTGGATCTCATCCAAAGGTGGGAAAGATCCTCAGCCATTCGATCTTCACTAAAACATGTAGGTCGTTCGATCATCCAACGCACAGATCTCCAGCATGTCGAATCTGCATGGAATATCATGTTGACATGGCCACTACATGGCGCGACCAGATAGATTACATTGCCAAGTTAGCAAATGACGTGATTCGTTTATAAAAAATTACAGAGTGCCCTTTGGTCTTTAAAATCATTTCGATTAGGCCCATTTTAATTATAAAATGGCCATAACTTTGGAATTTTACTTCAAAAATATCCTAAATTATTTATTTATTTATTATTCATATTTTTCATGATTTTTAAATTTTTAAATAATTATTTTAAGGTTCAAAAAATTTATATTTAACTCATTTTGATCATTTTTAATTACAAAAGACCCCAAAAACTTTAGTTTTTATCGTTTAAATCCCCAAAATCTTAATTTATCTAAATTTGAGTTTAATTAAATTTATAAACTCTATTTTTGGGAATTTATTTAATTTGCAGGTGTTATAATATTATTATTATTGTTATTATCATGCCAAAAAAAATAAAAAATAAAACTAAACAAAATAGAAAAAGAGAAAAAAGAAAAAAAAAAAAAAATATGGAACTTTTAAAGCAGCTAAAGCTTTTTCGGGCCCAAGTATGCCATCCCTCAGTTTCTTTTCCTATTTTTTTCATTAATAAGTCCCAATAAAAATGTAGTCTAAATAAAATGTCTTAGTCCAACCTTGTAAAAGGTCAAAGAAAAATAGTTTTTTCAATTCTTCAATCGATAAGAAATCGAATTAATATTTTATGGTTTTTTTAAAGTTTAAAAAAAAAAGAGAAGATGTTAGAGGAAAAAAAAAAAACAAAAATAACATTGATGAGTAACAAAGGGGGGAATGCAAAAAATTAGAGGGCTTTGGGAAAAAAGTTTTCTTTTCCACGAAAGTAAAGAGTTTGAGGGGAGGGTTTAGGGGGAGAAAAAAAAAGGAAAGTTGGAAAGAAACATATTTTTTCTAAAGCCCTCTCAATTTTTACACTCCTAGTTAGAAGGTAAATGTGACGATTTGAAAAAAAGAAAAATTACAAAACCTTGATGCAAAAGGAAAAAGACACTCTGAGGGAGAGAGAACAAGAAATAAAATAAAAATAAAGTAAATAAAGTAGCAAAGAAAAATAATATATGATAGATAAGAATAAACTTTATACTAAGAATTTTTATATTCATTTATTATTATTATTACTATTGTTATTATCATGTCAAAGAAAAATAAAACAACTAAACAAAATAGAAAAAGAGAAAAAACAAAAAAAGAAAAAAAATAGAAAATATGGAATTTTTAAAGTAGGTAAAGCTTTTTCCGGCCCAAGTCTGCTATTCTTCATTTTCTTTTCCTATTTTTTTCACTAATAAGACCCAAATGATAATGTAGTCCAAATAAAAGGTTTTAGTCCAATCTTGTAAATATTTTATTCCATATGACAAAATTAGTTCAAATAAGAAGTCTAACCCGTCAAATCCCTAGCCCTCATCTACCTTAATACCAAAAATGACGTTATTTATTTCCCTAGCATTTTTTAGTTTTTTCAGTTCTTCAATTGATAGGAAATATAATTAGAATTTTATATATTTTTTTTAAATTAGAAAAAATATGGTAAAGCATAAGAAGAAGCAAAATAACAAAGGTGAGTGATAAAGGGCGGAACTCAAAAAAAAAGAAGGGACTTTGGGAAAAATGTCTTCCTTCCCACGAAAGTGGAGAGTTTGAGGGGGTAAAAATAAACCTTTTTTTTCCAAAGCCCTCTCATTTTGTACATTCTCTGTTGAAAAGCAAATAATACAATTTGAAAAGAAGAAGAATTATAAAATCTTGAAGCATAAGGAAAAAGAGACTCAAGAGAGAGAAGAAGAAAAAACAATTAATAGAAAAGTAGATAAAAATAGTGTATGATGGGTAAAAATGAACTTTATATTAAGAATTTTAATATTATTATTGTTATTATCATTCTTTAAAATAAAAAACTAAAAAAATATATAAATAGAGAAAAAAAGAAAAAATAAAAAACGAAAAATGGAACCTTTAAAGCCGCTAAAGCTTTTCCTAGCCTAAGCATGCCCTTCCTCATTTTTTTTCCTATTTTTTTTCTCTAATATAGCATAAGAGACAATATAGCTCAAATAAAATGTTAGCCCAACATTGTAAACTTTTTATTTCATATAAAAAAAGAAGCTCGAATAATAAGCCCAGCCCATCAAGCCCGCACCCTAGCCTATGCCCTCATACAAAAAACGACATCATTTACGTCTCTCACATTTTTTAGTTTCTTCAGTTCTTCAAGCGATAGGAAGATAGACTTAGTATTTTATAGTTTTTTTTAAGTAAAATAAAAAGAGATAATGGTAGAATGGAGAAAAAAGCAAAAATAACAAAGATGAGTGAGAAAGGGATAATGCAAAAAAAGAGAGGGATTTAGGAAAAATGTTTTCTTTCCCACAAAGGTTGAGAGTTTGAATGGACGGTTTAAGGGGAAAAAAAAGTTGGAAAGAAGACCATTTTTTTTCCAAAACCCTCTTCTCTTTTACATTCCCAGTTAAAAAGCAAATAAGATGATTTGAAGAGAAGAGGAATCATAAAACCTTGAAGCAGAAAAAAAAAAAAAAAAAAAAAACTCGAGGGAAAAAAAAAAAAAAAAAAAAGTAAATATAATAGTAAATGAAAAATAGGGTAGGATAGGTAAAAAAATAATTTTAAATTAAAAATCTTAAAGCTTTTCTGGCCCAATCTTGCCCGTCTCATTTCTTTCGTATTTTTTTCTTTAATATGACTAAGAGACAATGTAGTAAAAAAATAAAAAGTTTTAATCCAACCTTGTAGACCTTTTATTTCATATTACAAACCAGTTCTAACAAGAAGCCCAAACTGCTAAGTCCTTGACTCAACATATTCCCTAATAATAAAAATGATGTTGTTTAAATCCCTCCCATTTTTTAGTTTCTTCAGTTCTTCAATCGATGGGAAATAGAAATAGAATTTGATTTTTTTTTTTCAAGCTGAAAATAAAAAGAGATGATGATAAAATAGAAGAAGAAGCAAAAATTAAATAGAGATGAATGAGAAATGGAGGTACACACAAAAATGAGAGGGTTTTGGGAAAAAAATGTCTTCTTTTCCACGGAAGTAAAGAGCATGGATGAAGGGTTTAGGAGGAAAAAAAAAGTTAGAAAGAAAACTTTTTCTTTCCAAAACTCTCCTTTTTTTTACATTCATAGTTAGAAAATAAATAAAACGATTAAAAGAGAAAAACTACAAAACTTTGAAGCAAAAGAAAAAAGAGACTTGAGGGAGAGAGAAAAAGAAAAGGAATAAAAAATTAAATACAGTAGCAGAGAAAGATAATGTATGATGAATAAAAAATGAACTTTATATTAAGAATATTCATGTTCATTTTTTTTATTATTGTTATTATCATATTAAAGAAAAATAAAAAATATGAAAAAAATAGAAAAAGAGAAAAAAAAAAGGAAAGAGAAAGAAAAAAATGGAACAATTAAAGCCGCTAAAGGTTTTTTTGGCCCAAACTTGCCATTCCTCATTTTCTTTTCCTATTCTTTTTCTCTAATATGACCTAACAGACAATTTAATCCAAATAAAAGGTTTTAGCATAACTTTGTGAACATTTTATTCCATATGACAAAACTAGCTCGAATTAGAAGCCCAACCCATCAAGTCCCTAACCTAGCCTCTGCCTCAGTACTAAAAATGATGTCGATGGGTCCCTTCCATTTTTTAGTTTATTTAGTTGTTCAATCAATAACAAACAAAATTATGATTTTATGGTTTTTTTAAAGCTAGAGAAAAGAAAAAAGAAAAGATGGTAGAACAAAAGAAAAATTCAAAAAATGAGAGAGTGAAGTGACAAAGAGGGGAATGCAAAAAATGAGAGGGCTAGGGAAAAAAAAAATCTTCTTTACCACGAAAGTAGAGAGTTTGATGGAAAAATTTAGGGGAGGAAAAAAAGTTGGAAAAAATATCTTTTTTTAACAAAACCCTCTCATTTTTTACATTCCTAGTTGAAAAGTAAATAAAATGATTTAAAGAAAAGAAAAATTACAGAACCTTAAAAGCAAAAAAAAAAAAAAAAGACTCAAGGGAGAGAGAAGAAAAAAATAAAAAAAAATAAATAGAGTAGCAGAGAAAAATAGTATGTGTGGGTAAAAATTAACTTTATATTAAGAATCTTAATGTTATTATTGTTATTATCATCTAAAAAAAAATATAAAAACTACAAAAATAAAACAAAAAAAAAGAAAAAAAAAAGAGAAAAACAAGAACAAAAATTGAACCTTTAAAGCCTCTAAAGCTTTTTCTAACCCAAGTCTGTCATTACTCAATTTTTTTTCTTTAATATGGCTTAAGAAATAATGTAGCTAAAATAAAAGGCCTTATTGCAACCTTGTAAACTTTTTATTCCATGTGATAAAAATAGCTCGAATAAGAAGCCCAACCCATCAAGTCTATGGCCCAACCTATGCCCTAATATCAAAAATGGCATCGTTTATGTTTTTTCTTCAGTTCTTTAATTGATAAGAAATAGAATTAAGATTTTATAATTTTTTATTTAAGTCGGAAAAAAAAGAGAAGAT